ATACGTTCAAGAATACACACCACAGGTAATGGAGGTGAAATTAAATACCTTCAGCTATAAAATGTTTATTATGTGTTACTTAAAGAGCCCCCCCCCTACAGTGTGTCTAATTGTTACGATATGTTCATTTAAATGTTTTTATATAGGAAATATTCCAAGTCTTTATCGATATTCGTGCTAAGTGTGGGTCATTATGCCCCTCTCCCTCTCGTTTGCTCTCGTTCGGCTGATAATTGCAAGTTAAGTAATATTAGTAACCTCAGTACATGTAGTTGTTTATTTAGATATCCGTTAAACAAAAACCTCTTTCACTCTTTTGAAGGTTTTTATGAAACCAATCTAGCTATTAAAACACGTGTCGATGCTCATAAAAACCTTCCGATACGTAGTTAAATCTAAATATCGACATAACTAGTGGTATGGGTATTGGGTATATAAACTGTTGTTGCTGTTGTTTTGTTATTAACGCCATTTCTCAGCCCGAGATTTAGACACACAAGGGAAGAGATGAGATAGCAGTGATTAGTAATGGCGGGTGCTAAATTTAGATACACATGGAAAGGGTTGAGATAGCAGTGGTTAGTATAGGCGATTGCTTTATACAACTCGGCTACCAGAGGCCAAATATATCTATGCTGAATTGAAAGGTAAACAAAGAGAATACAGATATACAGATCAATGTGAGTATTTACCCTAATCATTGGCATTATGTTTTTGCAACTGGTCATAATATAAACAAATTTACAAATGTACCTACCGAGTAGATAATATTAACGTCCAAGCCACCTGAATTTCTTTCTTCAATGGAAATCTTCAGGTACTGCTTCAAAAATATAGGTTTCCTGTCGTGATGACATGTTCAGCAAGAATATCTTTACCTTTCTTATCCTGCGGAAGTTTTACTAATCCTTCCGTCGATAAACTGTATCAAGTATGCTCATTGTATTTCGCTTCCTCGTGTCAGTGTCGCTCTACAATTATATAGGGCATTGGGGTGAACATCGCTGTACAACAATCGTTCGTTACTCGTGTGTTGTAAGGTTTCCTTCACCATTGGGATTCGGTCAGCTCCCAGTTTAAAAGAAATATTTATAAGATAATGATGGAAATCTTTTTTGTTTCTTTTACAAAAACGGGCGAGATCACACGTACATTAAAAATTGTGGTGAGCCTGTTCAAATTGACCGACATAACTAGGTAGCCAATACAGTGAAATAATTGTTGTACAGAATTCACGCAGTTTCATTGTGTTTTCGAAACGAACCTTTAAATAATTGCTAAATGTTTCTTCCTTGTAAATCGTTTATAATGGGCTGATCCAATGTGCACATCAAGCATTCACAAGGATAACGCGATGAAGTCATCAATGACTGACAATAAATAGCATTAAACATAGTAATTCTATTTATATTTTAACAGAAAAGCTGTTGAGTTACATTTTTGCAGATAAACTAGAAATATTCCATTGATATTTATTTAATTTCACATACATAATACTGGGAAACACGTTTGTCTGCGTACAAACGTTGTTTGAAAAAGAGACAAGGACTAGCCATCTTTCTTTTTCTTGATATTTGGCTATTTTGCATATGATGTTAGCATTTAGAAAATAGCTATATGTATGAGGTAAGCATTCAGCAAACAGCTATACGTATGAGGTTAACATTTAGTAAACAGCCATTACTTGCTAATGCTCCTGTCCGACTCGATAACAGTTTTTTTAAGACAGCCTGGACTCATAACTGATTTCAATATGAATATTTGTTGTTGTTGTTGTTGTTGTTTTTGTTTTAGGGTTTATTGCCATTTGTCAGCACAATATAGGCTATACATAGCGTCCAGCATAAATGGTGGAGGAATAACCCGGGAAACTCACGGAAAGAACCAATGACCCACCAGTAACTTTTGTGACGTACCCACATTTGCCGAACTAGAGACTTGTACACACGCAGACTGAGGTTAGATGGCAATGATCTATAACGGTGACCGCTTTAGGGCTCACGACACTAATTCAGTTCCCATAATAAACCTATGCAAACAAAATGATATTAAAAATTCAATAACTCAAAATTTCTGAATGCTCATACTCAAACTTATATTTATTAAGATATGATTAAAAGTGGATGTCAGCATCTATGTCGAGGAAAGAATACGTATGTAGCTTCTGTGTAGAGGAAATGATACTGGGCGCGGCATTTTCTGGACCTGAATGTGTTTGAAACATGTGCTGTCATTTCAGCACCAAATGGTGAGTTGATAAATTTAGTACTGAGTGTTACAAACTCAAGACTGTTAAAGAACTGAAATTCCATCAAAATTTAATGTCTCTTTTGTTTGCACTTACAACCAGTTTAAGTTCTCAAAAGATTCTTTTTCCTAAAACATTACTTGCATTATTAATTAATCTTGGCCAGCCAAACCCATATATGCTCTACTTAATGTTCACCCTTTTCTAGGCTGGTTCCCATTTTTCCATACAGTTAGAGCCGTGTATCCTTCAGATCACCCGGTCACTCAACGCCCACAATGAGAATATATTGAGAATATTAGGAAAGTTTGTGGTTTTACCTAGGTATTTATCGGCTGATAATTGGACAGAGATCAGGGTCCCAGGTCAGTCGTATAAAATATATGAAAGCCACCACCATAGGAAAGAAAAAGAGTTATAAATGAGATAAAAATGCACCCTCTGCGTCATAATCTTTAAATAAGTGTGTTTGCTATCTGGCGATTTACGATCCAGTTTTGGATGTTATTCCTTACACTGCCCATATTTGAGAACACGTATGTCTGGTAAAAAAAAAAAACAAACAAACAAAATAATCCAAACACTGGGCAACGCTACTTTCTTTATTTTAATTACTGGCTAAGGTCATTCTAATATATATGCCTTCATTATAATTTGAAATGAGTAAAATTCTTTGTAAAAATGTGTTTTTGCAAAACAAAATTGCTCATGCTTATTGGAACGCGTCCACTGTCAAATTCTTTGTTTCACAGGTGCACACATTTACCTGTTCTCTCGATCTTCAATTTCGGAGACAAGAAAATCTTGCACGCAGACCGTAATCTCACTCAATCTCAATTTTAGATTTTAGACCTTTGTCAGGTATAATGTGATTAAAATTTGACCTGTACATTAAACAGCAAACTTTTTTTCCTTGCTTTGTTTGTTTGGGGTTTAACGAGGGTTATTACGATTTCTAGTAATCCGATTAAGACTTTCCCGGAACTGGTTTCTTCCCATTAATTGTTCGGTCTTTTCGTAATGTTGACCTTACTTGCCGTGTAAACGCAAATAGGAAATTCAGTGCCTGAAACGCGCCAAAGGTAGGACTTATATCTACTCATCGAAAGTAGTAGCAAAACACTTCCCAGCCGCAAAAGAAAATGCGTGTCAATTAAGATACCAGAATCTATTGGGAGAAAACTATTAGATCTGGGGTAACGATGACTCGTGTACCCCGCAATAAATGTATCCAGCAACAGGATTAAACATTGAAAAAATATCCTCCTCACTTGTAGACACACGATTTTTAAAAGACTTAAAAAGCAATATAGCAAAACAATCTCAGCTCCTCCCCAGTACATCCCCCCCCCGAAATAGTTGGTGACGTTTTTCAACTTTATTTTCAACTTATCCTGTTGACGGACTTGCATATATTAAAATAGTTCTTCCCACTAAGGAAAACAATTTACTTTTGGGGAAGGGGTTGAGCGTCATATAAGAACGTCTAAATTTGCCGAATGCATTTGTGCTATTTTCTTAATACATATTTGTTCTGATTTTCATTAAAATCACCTTTTTCATTTAGAATCCCTCAGAAACATGCAAGTTTGAAGACGATGCAACTCGGACATATAAGCAGGAATCTAAGACAAAGAAACCACTTCGAACGAGAGGAAAAGCGCAAAGAATAAAGCAATCATCTTCGATTGATGGCAGAATCCAAATCCATCTGTCCAGCAATTTGTCTTTTTTATTTTTTAAAAATATTTTTGTTATCTAAAGAATTTAACTCTAGTCATAATTTGCTTATGGTTTAATATTATCCAAGTACATTAAAAGTCACCCAAAAGGATGTATTAAATGTACAGTAACAGTTTTCACAATAATTTGATCAATATCACAGTTTCAAACTTTCTTTTAAAACCTGGCTGAAATAAGAATGAATAACTTGGTTACATCATAGAAATTACAATGCTGCACTTTTGCACAAGCGTGAACTGGGACTTAAAACTGGCAGTGAAGCTGCACTAGTATGCTACCGACACAGTAACGTAACGTAATAGCTTTCATAGCTCTCTTGTCTATCGCGTTCATTGAGGTCGTTTTATCAATGTGTACAAGGCCTACTTTCGTTTTGCTGACTTCACTTTTCACCTTGATATACGTTCATAACATCTTAACAGCATTACTTTCTGAAGAAAAATTAATTGATCTGTCTGGGAAAGAAACAATGTCATCTACATCACAAGTCTTCCACTTTGTCATTGGGGCTAATAGGGCTGCTGTTTGTTAACATTCACGATTATATTTTATTTACAAATAATACCATTGTTCGGAATTTACTTCAAATTTTTTAACTTATTTTTAGTTCATTTTACTTAGAATGGTTGCAGGTATGTGCATTCGAAAATATATGTCCTGATGTCGGGAATATTTCATAATTAAGAGTTCGTCAAATGAAATCGATTATATATTCGTTTTCGTTCTTAGAGTACATTTGAAAACGAACGGAGGATATATAATCAATAATTTTCATAACATAAGCCAAGAAGCAGACTTGTCAAGTAAAATGTCACTGGTTCTAGCCTTATATGCATCAATCTATTTTTTAATCAAATATGATGTAAACTATTGAAAATATTTTTCCAAATGAAATATCAAATTTGACGCACCATTGTATGGCGATTTGGTGGTTAGGATGTGATTATTTAGTTCACGTATATTATGTATCCCCCACTCTTTCAGTCTTTTGGACGAGAATTTTATCACCGCTTTGGTGGCCTAGTGGTTAGAGCGTCCGCCTCAAATGCGGGAGTTCGCAGGATCGAACCCCAGCCGAATCCTACCAAAGACTTATAAAAATAGTACTAACAGCTTCATCGCTAGGCGCTTAACATTAGGAGGTTAGTGTTGTGACTGGTCAGCCTGGTGTCAGGATAATGTGACAGGGTGTGACATCATGCTACATGTCTGCGGCATGATGCCCAAGTGGTAGACATCACTATAAACTGCCACACTGCAGACATCGTAGCAATATGACTGAAAAATTGTTAAAGCTACGTTAAAAGTCTAAATACACACACGCACACAGTTTATAGAGTTACACTTCTCCGTATAAGTTGTCTTTGTTGGTGAGACGTTAAATACAATTTCACTCATTATCTACGCAATATTTCGTAAATGAAATGGAAATAAACGAAGGCTGTAATGATTGTTTTCTGATACAGATTTAATAAATCACATCAATGTGCGTGAAAAGCTTAAAGAGCTCATAAATATGCACTAAAACTATTTTCATTTGCAGCCAAATTTTGTAAGACATCTCCCAGAATGGTAGTTTGTCCGCAAATAAGAAGCATTTCCTCCGTAAATGGTATTATATTTCAGTAAAACCTTGTTTGTAGACTGAATCTTTGTTCTAAAATTAAGCCGGACACCCTCATCTTCCTATGTTAATCTTACAGCATTCTCCAATGATAGATAAATCAATCATTGTACCCATATCCTGTTTGATCAACGTATTATTGCCTACCAGTTATGAATGCGAATTTCTAAACCGTTGTCTACTTGCAGCCTCGTCCATTGGAAGACTTATACATTGCTTTGATATTCAACTGCGTGAAGACAACATTTAAGGTTATGTTATAAATACGTTTAAAAGTCAAATTTAAAATTAAACAAATTGAATTTGACTTAATCTTGCAGTTTGGAAAACAAAACAGTTCTTCAAAACGCGATTGCCAAAATATTGAGCCTTTCTATGAAAACAGAAATTTATCTCAGATTTAATAAAATCTTGATTGACACACAGACAGAAAAAAAATCAATTTTGGTTGAAAAAAACTTATGAAATCAATGTTGGTTTTGATGTAAATATATGATCCAAGCCCTCTACAGGAATGTAAATAAATTACTTATACCGACGTGTTAAATGAATTAACTGTTACGTGAACACTAATCCATATTTAAACTCATTTCCATATATCCGGTCTTAACAGAATCCTTACCACCTGTACGATAACTAAGCGAATACCATAGTGTTTATGTATACGTATGATATGCACTGATAACTTTTTTCCGCACACCTGTATTATAATGTTATCCTACCTCATTTCCTCAATATTGAATATTACGCGGTAGTCCATTTTCAACGTTGAAAAAGGATGATGAGATATAACGCTTCAAGAAGAAGACGTTAATATGAAATCCTCATAGTTTATGTTCAAGAGAATTTTTAACACAATCTTTTCATAATCAAATGACAAACCAAAATTTGTAAAAAGTCAGATGTAATTTTACTTGAGTTTCCAGGTTCAGTATGATATATAATTATAGTGACTCTGGAGTTAATAATCTCCAAAACTGTTAACAAAATTATGCTGTTTAATGAAAATAACATAAACTTAGTAGATTCTGTTTACCAGGAATGCAAGAAAATAATTTATAAATTACTTAATTAATTATTGCAAGTATTTACAAAATATAATTAACGCACATGATCATTATTGTTCGTAAATCATCCTCAGATGAAATAGTTTCGCTGTTTGCCATCTTTCTTTTGAGCCAAATGTAACATAATAATCTTTATTCCTTTACCTGCTTCTGCCTGATTATTATATTTTCCTTAAATATCTATAGGAGGTGAATTGATCAATGGAGGAAATAAAAGATGGAAATTACGCCATCTTCAAATTCTGGACGGCTCAGTCGCACGTGCATTAAATTAATTCACAATATTGCTCAGTGTGATGTGCGTTTTTTAAAAGTTTGTCTACTGTTATCATTAAACTATAATTGTGAAATAAAAAATGAAACGGGCATATTTGAATCAACCTAAGCAGAACGTAATGCATTAAGATGAAGTTTTTTTTCACATGAATTTCCAAGACTTTTTGCTCACGTTTATTTTCGCACCTTACAATATATTTTCAGGTCAAATATTCATGCTGGCTTTCACTGACTATTTGACAAAATGGCTCGAAGCTCAAGGAATCCCTGATAAATCTGCAACCGTAGTTTTTACGTATTTACAAATTTAATTTGCCCAAAATATAAGGTTTACGGAACAGGGAAGAAAATTCTGTAAAAGCCTAAATTATTTATATTTCGTCAAACCGAGAAATTGATCACCAAACTAGATCCACAGACATGTGTCAAACAGAAAGATCCGAGAAACCACGATGGTATTATCATGTCGTGTGTTAATGACTAATCAAATAAAGGGATGAGCTATATTGCTACCTATTTTGCTTGCCTAGCATACCTAAGAACCAGAGAACGAGTTGGACCACGTGACTTTTAACCAAAGGCTAGAAGCGTTCCTGCATTTATCCAGAGAAATATCAACTGCCTCAGATTATATCAGGTCTGCCTCAGATTATATCAAGTTTACCCGAGCAAAGCACCGGAAATACCTGGACGCAACGTTTAATATTGAGTTATGCATGGATGGCTACTGGCAAAGTAACGTTGCATAATTAAAAAGGTAACACGGAAGGGGAGCAACCTCGATAAGAAAACAAGGGAACATTCACTTTCCGCTGTATAATGACCTCAGTATATTAAACCGACAGAAAATGTTAATTGACGTTTTTAATTATCTAAATGTAACATACGTCAGTGCTCTCAATGTAAAATATTGGTGTTTCCCTTACCTTATGAATTCTCATTGCTTTCATATAAAAATATAGATTCCTAGTCCTCCTCAATGCTTTGAATACGTTTTAATACTATTCACGTGGTATGACTATTAGGTTAATCGAGATGAATAACCTGATTAAAGACAGTTACTAGATTGATTTGATGCCTTGCGTCCTAATGGGATTAATATCAAGGCACTGTATAAAATTGCATACTACTTTAATAGAATTTATAGTTGTATACATATATCCTTTATGAATCTCTCTCTCTCTGTATATATATATATATATATATATATATATATATATATATATATATATATATATATATATAATGTTTTTTTCCAAAAATTATTTTATTTCACTGGGTTTATATTTTAGACCACATTTTAATAACTAAAGAAAGGTTGAAAATAGACTGTTTTACTGAAAGACAAGAATGTGTCAGAATTTGTGTATATCTTAACTTTATACCTGTGTAATTACAGTTCAGAACAAGGAGAAAAACTCCTTGCTGTCATCGCAAAATTTGCAACACGTGACAAAGCCATGCATTCATATTTCTTCTTGTCATGTGAACCTCAATGAAGTTCCAAATATATATTCCATCGGTTTATGCATTTCAAGGCACGTGAAATTTGTGTAGGACTTAAGCGACCGTAGGTATGTGACAGTTACGTTACATTTGAGATGTTCTGTGTAATGGGATATGTATGATATTTCTGAGTTGATCAATTTGGCCACAAACGGAGATAGTTTCTTAAATTATAATTTCTTTTGCAAACAAGTTCTAGCTACTTATATTAGTGACTTTTGTTGGTGCATTTGGAGACGTATATATGGTCATTACTCTAGAACGAAACTGGGTACCGAGAGAAATCCAACCTATCTAGACAGCTAAGAATACTACAGGAGTGTCTCATTAAAAAAAAAAAAAAAAAAAAAACATACGCAAAACAGGTTATAGCCCTTCTTGCGTCCACAAACCAAACTTTTACATTTTGCTCAACGTTTCGCCTATCATGAACCTTAGTTGATAAATCTAATACTGACTATTATATTCAACAGTTGTCATCACCGTTTATTATACTTGGTGATTTTAATTGCACCTTTATACTTCGTGCAGTGTTTCAAAGCACCCAGGAACTGGCTAGCGATAAGGATTAATTGAAACAGTGTTGGGCCTGTATATTACGCTTCGAAGGGTTGACGTTATAAATTACTGGTAGGCAATCATACACTATCCAATTTGTGTTATGTGTATTGACTGATGAAATTAAAGACTTATTTTCTTTATATGTTCCATTTATCCACAGCGCCATTCATAGAAGTATTGAAAGTCCTGGTGATTCTTGTATTAGCTACGGTAACCATTCGAAACAGATAATAGGGTCTCAACGCCTGCCTTGAAATGCATAAACGGATGGAAGAAAGGGGTGTAGAAAATACATTTGGAACTGTATTGGGGTTCACATGACAAAAAGAAATATGAATGCAAGGTGAACATCCATTTAACTTCATTAACAACATGTAATTTCCAATGGAAACTGTCAAGATTGAAGCCATTCTCAACAGATTTGTTATCATTGTTATGTATGCTCTTCATAGTCTGTTTGTCCGTTTGTCTATGACAGAGCATCACATAACTTTAAATTTCATGTGTACTGATCGTGGAGACAGACATGGTCGTAGTCAACATAATTAAGGTTTATGGTCACTACAGACGAAAGAAACTAATTTCCTCCCAATGAACATCCTTGATTGATCAGAACTTCTCTGCTAAATTATTGGTAGATATTCAGTTTTGAGCCGGTAAAAACCCTTCTGGATCTATTGACACCGTAAACATTTATACACACACAGGCACCTTAAAGGAAACTTTGTGTCTTAGTAACCACCACATTAGATTTTAGGCTACGAGTCAATGATTAGTCTCTCTATCACCGTGAATAATTATTATTAAAATTTGTTTAAATATTAACATAGGCGAATCATATTGATTATGGCATAATGCTTCTATTAATTCCAGACGAAAGCAAGGTAACTCACAGGAAAATTCTTTGTCACGAAGAACAGCACGGGTTTTTTTGCATAATGCAAGTTTGTTAGATCCAATACACTATTTCTGTCATCTTCTTCCGTTATAACTATTACTGAGGCTGCAAAGGAGAAATAATTTTCTTAGTATGTTCATCAGAAAATTGG